TCTCTCTCTCTCTCTCTCTCTCTCTCTCTCTCTCTCTCTCTCTCCTTCCTTTTGTCTCTCTGTCCCTTTTTCCTTTTTTCCTTTCATCTCTCTCTCAGTCTTTCTTTCTTTCTTTCTTTCTCTTTCTCTTTCTCTATCTGTGTGAGTCTCTGTGTGAGTCTCTCTCTCTGTGTGTGTGTGTGTGTCAGTGGTGGGTTTCAAAAATTTGTGGAACTCTTCTGTAGGTGTGGCCTGCTTTCCGGGTCCACTGGTGGAACCTCTTCTAACTGGTTCGGTAGATTTGATGAACAGGTTCTATTGAACTGGTGCAAACTGGTAGGAACCCACCTCTGGACCCATCCCACACAGCATCAGTTTCTTTGCCATAGCATCTTCTTTCCTGTTCCAAAAGTTGAATTTCTCATCCTTAATCTGTTTATAAGAAAACAGATATTAACTCCCAGGGTCTGTGTAACCTCCTGAATGGTTTAGCCAATTAGGTTAGTAGGTCATTTTATTCCTTCAGTTCTCAGAAACTTGGGGAAGTTAACATTTTTTAATCTTTTCTTTTCTCCTTCCTCTGCTAGAGTGGCTAAGACATCTGCCTGGATTTTGGATCCCCAGTTCTCTGCACCATGCCCTTAGTTGGTTTTTTGCTCTGGGCCATCCTTCTCATTGTGAGCTGGTGGCCCACATACTCCAAGGATTACCTCTTTGCTACTCCAAGGGTGCAGCTCACTTTCAAAGGTAAGGACACCATTTCTGAATTAAAACAGCATTAACAGTGTGATGGTAAACTTGTTTTGGTTTTTACTTTCTGGCAGTCGGTGATTTATCAAAAGTTCTCTATCTGGAACATAGGTTGGAGACAGACCAAGATCCAGACTTGAAAGTTTCAATGGCTAGTTTATCCAAATGATTATTCTGTTTCCAAGGAAGCTGCTTGAAGCAAATCCTTTTCCTTAGGACTCTAGCCATGATTATAAACAATGCTTTTCTAGAACAGGTTCCGAGAAGCCCCTGGGCTAGCAGCCTGCATCAATCAAGCACATGGCACATTGCACTTCAGTGCCTCTCTCCATCTGGAGAGAACTAGCCTTGCAGCTTGTGGCTTTTCCTTAGATCTTTGAAAGAGTCAAGCACCATGGCTGGCAGTGCAGGCAGCAGATTGACAGCTCAGTGAACCCAAGCTGCTGAATGCACTGAAGAGTTGGCAGCCACTCGTATACTGAAATCCCTAGGAAGGGACTGCGCTACGATGAATGGGCCCTCTGCCTGTTGCTGAGAAGGAGACAGGTGGTTGGGACTCACTGTCTGTAAATGTTCAGGGTTAGCCGGGGTGAAGCAATGATTGCCTGTGAAGGATGCTGAGCTGAGTTGACAAATGGAGCTCCAAGGGTAGGAAGCTGACATGGTAGCCTCAGCATGTGACTACCCACTAGGAACAGATGGTTGTACCTTATGTGTCATTTCCTCTTAACTTCCCTTCCTTTTCCAGGCCGCAGGGAGGCAGACTAATGTACTTATTATGACTGATGTATATTTAGACTGCCTCTTCTGGGTTCACCAGAAGGGGATCATGGAGAACCCGCCTTTCAATATCCCCATTCAATATTCCCATAGCGTATATTATGTTGAGCATGAGAGCAACAGGTGTGTTGTGCAGTTCCTTAGGGGGCACCTTTAGGGGAACAGTCTCTGGTGTTTTATGGGTCATAACCAAAGGCCATCAAAAGGTTAACCATCAACTCTGACCCTAAAACTATAAGGGGGTAGGAAGTTGATTTTGCACAATGCCTAACTTGCTCACCTGTGAACCCTCTGAATTCTTGACAGCCCAGTAGAAAAGTTGATTGTTTCCGCTGCTCTTCTTTCTCTAAACAAACAACTTTTCAGAATATGTAGTGATAATGTATGAACATGGAAGATTTGATCTATCTACATATCTCTTTAAATCAACTAGATAAAAAAGAGCAAACATTGTATTTTTTCCCCCACAGAGTAAACACAGAGTAAATTGTGAAAAGTTGAGGAAGCTCATCTTCTATTGCATCCACTCATCCTAATTTCAGATCTAGTTTGTTTAAATCATAAATATCAACATGGTATGAATTAACATGCTAGTCTGTTGAGATGCTAGTGAGATTGAGGGGCCTAGAGTATAAAAATACTATTAGATGGATGCATTGCAACATTGGAGACACCTGTACATACTCTGAGATTCTGTTTCTGGCTTCTCTGATTTCTGGTAGTTTTGACAATATTTGAATTTATCCAGATTTAATTCTCTCATATGGGTCTGGAGTCAAGCCCATACATTTTGTGTGAATGTAGGCTGTTTCTGTGCTTGGAAATATGACTTGAGAAACGTATGTCATTTATTACTCATTCAAAGTTTCAAAACACACTAAGGTACTAAGAGTATTTATGACAAATTGAATTACATGCCACAGTGACCTATCCTAACCTACCATTTCCTACGTTTTGTGGATAAAGTGTTTCCCCGCACCTGCATTTATTATTAGGATGCTGATTATATTCCCATAGGAGGACTGATGGACTAGTAAAGTAAAGGTTTCTCTTGCACATATGAGCTAGTCATGCCCGACTCTAGGGGGCAGTGGTCATCTCTGTTTCCAAGCCGAAGAGCCAGTGCTGTCTGAAGACATCTCCGTGGTCATGTGCCTGGCATGACTAAACACTGAAGGCGCACAGAATACTGTTACCTTTCCACCAAACGTGGTTCCTTTTTTCTACTTGCATTTTTTATGTGCTTTCGAATTGCTAGGTTGGCAGAAGCTGGGACAAGTAACGGGAGCTCACTCCGTTATGCGGCGTTAGGGATTCAAACCGCCGAACTGCCGACCTTTCTGATCAACAAGCTCAGCATCTTAGCCACTGAGCCACCGGGTCCCAATGGACTAGTAGCTTTCCCCAAATACACAAGAAATCTAGGCTAAGAACTGCAATCAAGGAAGTATGGCTTAGAGAGCTATGTCTTCCAAAAGTGGGGAAAGAGCGTGCAGAGAAGTACAAGAGGTCCATCCGAGAGGTCTATGTCTCCAGTATCTGCTGCCTAAAGTTATTGCTTATGCTCAGTAAAGATAGGACAGCTCTTGTCTTATTTTAAATTATTATTATAACTCTGCTTTGCCCAGAGCTGTGTTCTCTTTGTGTTCATCTCTTTTACAAAGAAGGATTTAGTTCTGGAGAGCAATCTGACCTTTTCTTTGCAGCATGAAAGGAAGAACAAGGGCAGATGGAAACATGATCCATTCTGCCTTTAAGTTGTGTGTGTGTGTATGTGTGTTTAATTGAAATCCTCCTTTTGGCTTGTTAAAGATTTCTGCACCCCGTGGAAGAGAGAAGTTCAAACCGAGGACTTTGAAAAATAGTGTCTTTGAGGTCTTTTATAAAGGGGTTGGTTTCCTGTTGTTAATCTACATTTTTTAAAAAGTGGAAAAGTATTACCTTTGCCAGGGAATTGAGGTTTTTTTCCACTGGATCACCTGACCCAAGGTTTTTCAGCTTTGATAATAAAAAAAAACCTGCCAAAATAAATCATAAGACTTGGCAATAGAGCTGAATGCTGCTGGGAAAGAATGGCCAAGACGTCTGAAGGGATGGAAGAACTTGGGTAGCAGAGGTTGAGCAAGAGACGGAGAGAGATGTGAAGTTGCAGGAAATGAGAAAAGAAGCTGGGCTGATTGTTAAAAGCATACAGTTTAGATAAGCTGGGACTCTGGAGAACAATCTAAAAACAACTCAAAGGCACTAAGCCAAGGATTAGGAGAACAACATGAATGAAATAAGAGCTCGGGAGAGGAAAGTGGTGGGGTTTTTTATGGGATTATTGAGAAACGTCTAGGAGGAAGAGTGGCCTCTTCTACAAGAGATGGTGAAAGTAGGTGGTGAATTGGGGAGACGCATTCTTCCTGGGAAAGATCTGATCTAATCCTGATGGTTACATCCAAGACCATTAATTTTATTTCCATAGCTCTATGTGTGTAACTGGAACAGGGCGGCAATAATGATGCAGGAAGAACTGTGGAAAGAGGACCAATGGGGAGAATGATAATATTTATGATTAGTAATATGCCCGTTCATTGTTCTTCTTTACTATTTACTATTCTTCCAGTGATTCCTGCATGTGCTCAAGATGCCTTTCTCAGTTGTATGATATTGCTGCGTTACTGGCATCATACACTATATGGTCAGCCACACAACCCATAATGCAATTATTCCTTAGTGTGCCTCCATGCCCAAGGATAGTGTGATTAGAGCTGAAAGATAAGCATTACCATGCGAAGTATGTAGCAGAAAACATGCTTTGGACATGCTCTCACAGATCCATTGGAAGCTTTTTTTTTCTGAATCATTTCTAATTTCTCAAAGCCAGAGCTAATTTACACTACAGCTTTGTAGTATGACAGATGCTTTTTAATAAGCCTATTCTAAATCTGCCCACTAAGGCAGGCTAATGGTCTCATGGCTCATCTAAGTGTAGATTAGCCTTTAGCACTAAATCAAAAATGAATCCAAGGTATAGATAAAGAGGTAATCCCTAAGTGAGTAGGCAGAGATTTCTGTGTCTGCTTCCTTCATTTTTTAGCAATATTTTTCCTCAACAATGTGCTTCTATTTTCACTCCCTTTTTCTCCTTTTTTAATGGATGCTGCTATTATCAGTGGTCCCTGTGACTGTATTTATTTCAAACAAAAGACCAAGAAAAAACTAATCTGCTAGTAAGGCTTTATTGATTCATGGGGTTGTCACCTACTATACGTCTTCATTCATTCTTCTTCTTTTTCACAATTCACAAGTACAAATTCATCATGGGGTCCATGGTCCCTTTTGCAAAGCAGTTCCATAGATGACTTTGCAATGAGAGATACAGGGTGAAAAGTGTGTCCTGACATTGCAACCCAACTCTACTCTTTGGTGCAACACTGCACTGCAACACTGAAAGGCCTTCTAGGCAATCCTATTTGGCTCTATCTCTGATTAATTTTGAAAGATAGCTGGAGTGCCTTTTCTGTATAAAAACAATTCTAAATTTAAGAAATACACAGTCTGTTGGTACCGCATAGTGTTTTGAAATGAGTAGTTATGTTAAAGCAGGGGTATCAAACACAAGGCCTGCAGGGCCATCCTGGAAATAGTGAAGGACCAGCCTGCATTGCCTCTGCTAGTGAAAACAGAGCTCGGGAGGGCCACGCACGGCCCTCTCGGGCTCTGTTTTTGCTTCCAGAGGATTGTAGTAGGATCCCCCCCCCAACCCCAACCCCTGGACCACGACAGGTGATGTTGAGCTGGCCATGCCCCTGGCCATGCCCCTCCAGGTCAAACATAACCCTGATGCGGCCCTGAATGTAATTGAGTTTGACACCCTTGTGTTAAAGGAATTTTGAATGCATTTAATTGGTTTGAATTAGGCTTTGGCAAGGCCTATATTTGATTTGGGCATTTGGGGATAAGAAAACTTGGTATCAAGGAGAATATATAATCGAATTCTAATTTGAATGCAACTAGCCTAATTAAAATTTTATATACACTTTTCAATTGTCCGATTGCGGGAAAGAGCAGTAAACTGATTTTGGAGATCAAAAATGAATGGCACCTNCCTCGGAAGGATGGAAGGCTGAGTCAACCTTAAGCTGGTGAGATTTGAACAGCCGAACTGCAGAACTGCAGTCAGCTGAAGTAGCCTGCAGTGCTACATTTAACCACTGAGCCACCTCGGCTTT